TGCCATGGAATTGTAGGCATCTTTTGCACTGGTTGATGCTTTGACGAGGCTGGTGGCGGACTGCAATCCCAGAGTCGTCAAAAAGTCTGAAGCCTGGCCGAGGGATCGATGCTTTTTCGAAAAGGGCTACCCATGACTGGTATGGGGCTCCAAGTCGGCTTTTCCCATGTGGGCGAACTTTTACCGGGACAGCCTTGGTGACCCTGACTATCTCTTCTGTTACCATCTCTTCAGTGACGATTACTCTGCCCATTATTGTATTAATGGCAACTGGGACTGTTGCGATTCTAAGTGAGCCCAGGTCCGATGCTTCTTCCAGTATGACATCTTGCTGGATGAGGGACCCAGCTAGGCTTAACATGTTGGCGCGTGCCTCTTGGTTTTCGGCTCTAATTGCGAAGCCAGTTGCCACACGGTATACGTGCTCAATATTGGCTTGAGGAATTTCAAGCACTTTTGCCACAGCCTCTCTAACACCAAACGGTGATAGCTTTCTCCAAGGGTGTTCATTTCCAAGGCGAAGAAACAAGCGTTCATCTTTCATGGCTGATTGCGTTGGGGTGGTCGGGTTTTTTGACGGCCGCGTCGAGTTTGCCGCCTTTGGCATAGCCTGTGCGACTTTTGTGGCTGCCGGGGGAGTCTTTATACCGGTGCGGGTGATTGACGCCCAAGTGGTTTTGGCCTGGGAGACTTTGTCATGAGTCACTTTACTTTGTGGCTCATCCTGCTTTTTGGCAGCACGTTCTATAATCTTGCTGCCAGTAGCCTGGCTTTCAGGGCGTGGGGGAAGTGATGGGAGGACTGTACCTGGTCCCGCGATCATAAATTGAGCTATTGCAGCTCTAATGTAGACTTTCATAGAGTCTATAAATTGAACACTCGACCCTTTGGATAGGGGGGACAGAGCATTCTCGACACCGTTTATTGCAGCGGTGCAAATTTTTACATTTTCCGCAGTTTTTGCGGCCCGGCGTTTCTCAGCCTCAATCAAGGCTCTGAGTTCGGGGGGGCATTCCTCCGTCTGCCTGCCTTCATTTCCACTGTGAGGAGAAGGATTCTCTTCTGTGGTTCCTGGTGTATGTTCCAGGGGGTTCGGGGTAGATGCTGCACCTTTTGACTTGTTAGCATCTGCAATCGCAGCCCGTCTCATAGCTGGCACAGCGACTTCAATGAGAGGAAGTGTATGCTGTCCGGTAGTCGCTGTCCCTAAATTGTTGCGACTCGTCGCTGCATTTTCAGCTCCGGTCGCATCTGGCTTGGAGTGAATTGAGTTAGGTAGTCTTTTCAGATTCTTAAGAATCTTGTCAATGTCAAAGTTGCCAACATCTATCATATCGCAATCTGTGGTACTTTCGTCGATTAATTGGTCGATGTTCATCTCTTGAACGGCAGTCAGTGGGCCCAACTTGACGCTTGCTTTCTGTCGAGCAACGTGTTTGAGGTGCTTGCGGTTATCTACGATGTCTTTCGCCCGCGATGGCTTACTGCGAACTGGGGGCATATTGGTAGCCTGCCAGTCGCTCACAAATTTTGAATTAAGGGCGTACGATATCGAGAGAGGGAGGGAGAGGGGGAAAGGGTGAATATTCGAATATTCGAATTTCAAAAAATTGTGTGTGTGTGTGTGTGTGTTTGTGTTTATTGAGCTACTTGAGTCTATGACTATCTAGCACTCGATATAATCATATAAAGGCGACGGCGACATCAGTATATCGAATATCGTTATGACGAGTCCGCACTGTACTTAGTTTTACTTCGGTATTTATTTGAATTAATGCGCTCTGCAACCTCAATGACTGAGAGCTCATTATTTTCTCAATAGATACAACGAGACTTGTGCAGATTTAAGTATTTCTACTCCCTTATAAACCTGGAAATTTTGTTTGAAATAAAATATTTAAGCTGATACTTTTGTGGGTAAACAATTCAGAGCATACGAACAAAAATTTCTCTATGGTTTAGATTTGGTTTAGAACATGATGCATGGGCAAGCGGCCACGGAAGCCCAAAAGAATTATTGGTCCAAAAAATATACAGGGATTTTGAAGGCTGGAATTTTTTATTTTTATTAAAATCATTCAATGTGTATTCAGCTTTCTAGCTATGGCACATGACCGGTGCTATGTATACATGTTGTATGACTCTTTTGACGTTAGAGATACTGATACTCTGGATTTCATTCGCAAAGACCACTATGAGGTATGCTTGCTTACACAAACAGTCGACTCTCCTCCGTGAATACCCACCAAAGGGAATTTCGAAAACCCTTGATTATCCATGCATACCAGCGCCGCGAGAAATGTGGTTGTGTTCTGCCGGATTTGAACCAGCAATCTACTGTCTCAAGTGGGATATGTGTCCAAGCTATCCAGACTCTACTTGGCAGACCGGCCAAGACGATGTACCACCGCACCATCCAGCCATGGCAATTTTTATAGTGTCGCCTGCACTCTCGCAGCCTAAGACTTGGCACGCACAAAGCTCAATTTGTAAAAACTCCTTTCCAATATCCAAAATTCCACGCCCGTCAAGACAGTATCCATCCTTCGCATCATCTTGTGAAATTGTCCTGAATCCTCTCACGTTCATCCCAAGGAACTGTCTTCCAGATTTGTGCGCCACGCTTTGCTTCCTCCGTCGGGTATAAATATCGGCGTGGGCGTGTATCTGGCGACCAGCTAAGGCCAGAGAAAGTCGACAAGAGGTGTGGTAATTGGAATGAGGATGTACTAGGTCGTACTTGTAAACTTGATGAGGCTTAGGTAGGAATCGATCTCGTTGGGAGTGAAAGATTGATATGGTGGAGTATTTTGAATCATTGCCTCGTGGGCCAACTTGTTTGGTATTGCGAAGTTTGACTGAACTTGGGTCTGGGAGAATATTTAACTCCCAGGTTCGTAGAGGACACCGTGTACAGGTATTTAGTCTTGCCCTCCTTTCACTTTATTGTTCTGTCTGAGTCTAAGACTATATGGAAAATATGGGTCCTCTTTGCCCACAGGCTAATGATACCCATGCCAGTAGTATATTCACCCCTATACATCTTGTATAGCTCCTCTCAAACTATGAAAATATACCACAACTGTACAATATATAGTCAAATACACTACAATTCTCGTTCTTGAATAAACCCTATTTTAGATCTTTTTTTTTTGGCATAAGATTTTAATTGCGTATGCAGCTATCTAGCTATGACACAATATCAAAGAAAAGTACAGAAAAGATGACTCAATTTACAAGAGGAGCACTCATGCCTCAGATTTCATTTGTAAGTACCACTGCGAAGTTATGGCGGCTAACCTATTTTAGATCGGATGGCACATAAACAGTACCAGCACTTATAAGCCCTTACACGATTGTTCATTTCGAAGAGCCTGTTGTCCTTTTTTAATTTCCCCCACCAGCTGACGAAACAGTGGCCGTTTGCGGATGTCTGGCAGCCGGGGAAACTCGCAAAAGCCACTGGGTGCGGAGCTCTCCTAATACCAATATCAGGGCCACATTTGTAGAAATGGTGAACCTTCTGAAGCCTTCAAAGTTACCGGCCAGCTGGGCGCTGTAGATTTGAGAATACGTAAGGAAATTCACACTCTGCCTCTTTTTTTTGCGTCAGATTGTAATTACGTATGCAGCTATCTAGCTATGACACAATATCAAAGAGAATTATAGAATAGATGACTCAATTTACAAGAAGAGCACTCATGTCTCGTATTTCATTTGCAAGTACCACTGCGAAGTTATGGTGGCTTTTTCTTCACCCCAAGTCAACCCTCATCCGTGAATACCCACCCAGGGGAACGTCTCAAATACTCTGCCTCTCTTGCCTCCATCCAACTCATTCCCGAAGGTCGTGCTAAAATTTCGGAAAAGTCTTGACAGTGCGTGACTGTTGTATGGTAGCTTAGCTTAACTTTTTGTGCCGTCCAAGGTTCTTGAGGGTGCCGTTGACTCATCGACAATTGAAGTCCTGCTAGCTAATTTGTCGAAATCTCTATCTTGGCGCCCGAAACGCTCCAGAGTTAAAAACCACTCGTAACTATCAGTCCCTACATAGTCTTTCGATACTTAATCTCCCTCTCACTCCACATCTCAGCCGCCTGTTCACTCTCTAGCTATTTACCTTATTAAAACAACAGTCCCGCATAAACCATGATCTTAGCTTTGTAAATCATGACTTAATTTCCTCCTTGCGGTGGGGGCACTAATCTCAACACCTGCCAGTGGTGTTCCCTGCGAACCCCCAGCTCTCACTGTAGAGTCTGCAAAGCTGATATTGAGTAACGTCGTCCTCAATCCGACGAGGATTCCCAATCGCTTTCGCGGTCTGTATCGTCTTCATTTCTCAACACATTCCCCTATTACCATTATCATGAAGCTAACCACGATCAGATCAAACGGTAGGATCGCAGCTCTACTCATCACCAACCCTTGATCATGAAGGAAAAGCCATACGATGAGTTTCCGGGGCATACCCAGCACCCGATACGGAGATGGTGGATTGGATCATGTCAGCTTTGACTGTTACAAAGAAGGTAGATATAGACGGACATGCGCACCTCACGTGATCCTGGTGTCTAGGCTTCACCTGGCTGGAGCTGCAAGTATTTTGTGACTTTTCCCTCGCACGCAGTTTCCATTGCCAACATTTTATTCTTTATGGTAGATGGTTCCATGGAAAAGGTGGCCGAATTCCACGGGTAAACAATGAGCTGAATGGCTATTCATCGTTGGCAAAATATAAATGATCTTTTAAGTAACAAAAAGGATAGGAGCACTTTACAAGGTGTAGTCTTGGTCAGAGAGGAGCCAAATATGATAGATAATCGTAGACTGGGATAGCACAATAATCATCTTATCAAGACAATATACAGTGGGCATCAATCTTTTATTCATGCGGGTACTGCTTGATCTACAGAAATTTCGGAAATAGCCATAGCGTTGGGTAGCTTACTACATTACTTTGCTCGGCGCAATGAAAGAAACATTCGTTGTATAACATTATGACTTCATCGCCCGTAATAACAAATTTCACTACAACGGAAGCCGAGGGTACCAAAAAGTTTGTCAGAGCAAATGATGAACATCATGTCAATAAGCATATTACGTCCATACTTCCAATAGGCTGCAGTCAGCCAGATGAATTCGACGCTCTTTCTAAATTAAATCCTTATTCGGTTCCCAAATGGAAGAAAATAGGCAAGTCCACATGATATCCAATTTATCGAAAGACTTGCTTTCTAACTCATTGTTTGCGTAGCCCAAATATTCACAGCAATATTGTACAGTCTCCTTGCGGCTGGCACAATATTTGGATTTGCTGCCCTGAAACCAATTCTCATCAAAGATGGAGTTTATCGTAATCTCTGCTCGGACAGTGAAATAGAACATGGAGTTAATGTCTGCTTTTATCAGGAGACTCGCCTCAATCTAATGTTCACAACAGCTGCCGTTGGGACAAATGTGGCCGCCCTACCTGTCGGTGCCATACTTGATAAATATGGCCCACGGATTTGTGGAATTATCTCTTCTATGCTTCTCGTCATGGGAGCATTATCCTTTGCTTATGGTAATGAGCTTCCGTACGACGGCTATTTTTCTGGTTATTTGTTCCTTGCTATTGGAGGTCCATTTTCATTTATACCCTGTCTTCAGCTAAGCAACATTTTTCCACAGCATTCGGGTCTCATCATGGCTCTGTTAACCGGTGGATTCGATTGCAGCAGTGCAGTATTTCTCATTTATCGGATTTTATATGAAAGTAGTGGTGGGATATTTGGACCTAGTAAATTTTTTCTAGCTTATTTAGTTGTGCCCATCTTCATTATCTCTACCCAATTATCTATCATGCCCAATCCATCACCTCAATCAAATCAACAATTACTTAGGAAAGCACAATGCCTGACAGGCCTGGATAATCAGCTCGGTGAAGATACGGCCCTACTTGGTTCAGAAGGCCCGGATACACAGCCTGTAGTTGCCGATGTTACAGTGCCAAGATCTGTAGACGAGGAAATTACTAAAGAAGAGAGGAAGAACAGAATATCTGGAGTCTGGGGAGCGTTACATGGGAAGACGAGCAAGCAACAAATCATTTCGCCATGGTTCATTCTTATCACCATTTTTACTGCCATTCAAATGACACGGATTAATTATTTTGTTGCGACTATACGCTCTCAGTACGAATTCATTTTAGGCTCCTACGAAGAAGCAGTTACAATCAACAAATTCTTCGACGCAGCACTCCCACTCGGTGGTATCCTTGCTATTCCCTTTATTGGTATAGTACTTGACAATACAAGTACAACGTTTGCTCTTACTGCATTAATTACAATGGTAACAATTATTGGTGGTCTCGGGTGCCTTCCATATACATGGGCAGCTTACTCAAATGTTTGTCTGTTTGTTCTGTGTCGTCCCTTCTATTACACGCTTATTTCAGATTTTGCCGCCAAAGTTTTTGGATTCAAAACCTTTGGTACTGTCTACGGTCTCAGTATTTCCATCGCTGGGCTATTCAACTTTACTGCTAACTGGCTTGATGCTATTCGTCACAGTGTCTTCCACGAAGATCCGCTTCCTATTAATCTATTACTTCTTGTTGTTTCATTGACTGTTGGAGCTGCTACTTGTATCTTTGTTGGGTGCCAGTCGCGTAAAATGCGGGATATTAGGGACAACTCTCCTGCAACTATAGACGTCGATTTTGACCTCGAAAACTCATACAGAACTTAAGGATTTTCCTGGTGTAATTGGTTAAAAATCACAAAATTAACTGTGATCTGTTATATTACTTTACTCATTTGACGCTCACGATAGAGTTTAAAGTTCGGTGTTTTTAACAGGCTGCAATGGTTCCGACTAAATTTTGTATTCAGGGGTCTGTATGTTTTTACTATATACTTATAAGCACGAGATTTAAGATTACCGTCTGAGATGTCCCACAACTCGATTGTTTACCTATTCTACCAGATTGGCTAGGAAATATTAGCCTGATAATCTTAAATCTTGTCTATAGTTGAATTTTTGGGGTTGAAATAATATTATGTCTTAAATCCAGCAGCTCTACAGGCAGCACAAATCCATGTCCCTAGAGGCTCACTCTTCAATCCAACACAAGACCAATGAAACCACTCAAATTCACATCCGGGGTTATCACAAGCCACCATATCTCCGTAACTAACACTTTGACAGGTGCAGTATTTGCGGTCATCGGCTCCATCATCATCTTCCATTTCAACCAATTCTTCGTCTGCCTCATTTTCATGATTGCGTTTTGGGAGCTGCGTTTCATCTTCATCGTCAACAGAGCCAGAATCTGCATCGCTTAGCTCACTATCATTCGTTGAAGATGGCGAATTTTTGTTGCTTGTCCGTTTAACACGACTAAGGCTGCTCTTTTTGAGCTTCCGCGTGATTCCAGAATGTTTACTCGTTGGATTTATGGATTTTTTTGGACCAGGCCTAATTTGTGAACGTGGGCCAGTACTTATTGCTCTAGTAGCTGGTACAGGTGTAGGTATCTTAGGGGTGCTAGGGCCGTGGGATGGCTGACGAGTTAAACCACTTGGGATATGGGTACTCAATTGGCCAACCAAGCGTTGTCGTTTGTTCGCTGCCGTCATCGAATTTTCCCGTGTTTGTCGTCCAGTAGTGGCAGTAGGTGAGGGTGAAGTCGGAGAAATGGATGATAAACCACTTGTCTGCTGTATTTGAATGTGTGTAGGAACCGCACTTTGTGGGTATTGGTTTGCATGGCGAGCTTGAACAGGAACAGCACTTGGGGGTTGACTCTGGAGAGTAGTAGGAGGACGAAGAGGTTGGGAAATTAATGGTTCTCGTAAAAGTGATGGGAGCTCTGGATCAACAGGAAATTCACCCCGATCCTGAAGCGCTTTAATTTGATTATCAAGATATCTCGTGTGCTTTTCAACAACGATTTGGCTTTTTCTCGCCAATGATATCTTTTCAGCCTGTAGCATTTGCGCTTTTTCATAATTTTCTAAAACAATTCTATTCATAGCAGCTTCTTTTGGATTTGCGACGTGCCCACCATTCTTGCGAACCCAGCCTTGAAGGGCGTTGTCGTGCCTATTGATAATCGCGAGACATTCTGCCATTTGTCTATCTTTCTGTTCAATTTCCTCAAACATAAATGCGATTTCATTTGGAAGATTGGCCACTCGATTGGTCCACTCGTCCAAAACAGTGGCAGCGTCTTGTTGCTCCATAAATGATATCTTGACATCTAAACTAATGATCCTCACAGCTTAAGTCTCTAGGCACAGTTGACTAGTGTGATAAGTTATGTTTGTAAAATTTCGCTGAGTTTTTAAGACGCTTTGAGATATGGATGTGTAATAACACAACCTCCTCGAAATTCCACCGAAATTGCGAAAGGCTCCTCTGTTATGGCTTTGATGTTGTCGACGCAAGGCTGTTAAAACAGGCAGCTGATGTCCGTGCTACCCATGTCTTTACAAAGCTTAGGATTAATTATCCGCTCAATTAGCTCGTTTATAACGACGATTTTGAAAATTCACAACAGATTTACACAGTCTTAAAATACCATGATCCGGCACTCTCAACTCAGTCCCATATTCAAACTTGGGATTTAGTGAGATCTCAATCTTCAAGCTTGGACCAACACCTCTAGAGCAAAGTTGACTCGACGGTTACGATGGGAATTTCTACCAAAGAAATAGTTCAATGTTGGCAACCCTTAGATCAGCAAGATGATAGTCAAAATGCATCGCTACTTCGAGAAGTTAAACGCGAGATCAGAGAAAGTGGCATCATTCGACCTAAGGGATATAATGTGTCGTGGCACTCAAATCCGGAAATCGAGAAACATCATTTCGGTCATTCACACCCCATGAAACCTTGGCGCCTCACATTATCAAAGGGACTCATAATGGCTTATGGTATGCATGCTGCCATGGATACATATATCGCTCGACCAGCGGAAAAAGAAGAGCTAGAATCTTTTCATACTGAAGATTACTTGAATTACTTGAAAACTGCAAAAGTGGTTCAACCCGATGATAACTGGCCGAAAGATTTTAACCTTGGTGGCTACGATTGTCCTATATTTGATGGACTACTAAATTACTGTTCAATGTACGCCGGGGCCTCAATCGATGCAGCTCGCAAACTTTGTAATGGCCAGGCTGAAATTGCCATTAATTGGTCCGGGGGCTTGCACCATGCAAAGAAAGCTGAAGCGTCGGGGTTTTGCTATGTTAACGATATCGTTTTAGCAATCCTACAGCTCTTAAGATATCATTCAAGGGTTCTATACATTGACATCGATGTACATCACGGCGACGGGGTAGAAGAAGCATTCTGGTCCTCAGATAGAGTCATGACTCTTTCAATACACAAATACGACGGAATGAGTTTTTTCCCGGGCACTGGGGATTTAAATCCTACGGGTCCAGATAGTGAAAACAATTTGGGAGCTCATCACGCTATTAATGTTCCTCTATCAGATGGTATTGACGACGAGCAATATATTTACATGTTTAAGACAGTTGTCGGAAAATGTGTCGAGAAATTTAGACCAACAGCTATAGTATTACAATGTGGTGCCGACTCTTTAGCTGGTGACCGACTAGGGAGATTCAACGTCCAAGTACAAGGACATGGTTCATGTGTGGCTTTCTGCAAGTCACTGAATTTACCTCTACTTCTGCTTGGGGGAGGAGGATACACCCCAAGAAATGTAGCTCGGGCATGGGCACATGAGACAAGTATTGCCATAGGATGTGACAATTATTTAAACCCAGTTATCCCCCTACACACACCTTATAGAGAACATTTTCGTCATGAAGCCCTATTCCCAACACTAGAGCAAGTTTTACCGGAGCCACGTGCGAATAGAAACTCTGCAAAAAAAATCCAAGATATCCTGAGTCATATAACGGAGCAACTTCGGTTTGTGAACGCTGCACCTAGTGTTCAAAGCCAGGCTATTCCACCAGACCTTACAGGGATGAAGCAAGAGGTTGAGGATAGGCTCAAAGAAGAAAGAGATGAGATAAATCACGTTAGGATTATTAGGGAAGAAGCTTTAGGAGTGGCTATGGAATTCTAAAACATACGCATTAAACCCTGGCCTGAAACAAGGAAATTTCAAGAGTACTCGGATATCCACGCCTTCTGCTAAAATAAATTACGATTCATTTAAAGAAATAAAGACTATGTTCAGACTAGTGATAGATATTCCGGAGGAAAGGCTATACCCAAACTTACGAAAAATTTAGTTTCGGTGAACAAGACGAGAATTTCAAAAGATTTAGATGGAGGGACCTTATTTTGGATCTCAAACACATCAGATGATGCATCTAGCTATGGACGTCAAACGAGCGGCTGCCTGTGATATTTCAATTCTAGTCCGAGTTATTTTCTACAGGGCTACAGAAGTTTGATATGCGCCTCTTCAATATCTTTTGGACCAAGGTCTAACATTTCTTCGAATTCCCTCTAGGAGTAGAGAGCAGGCTCAAAACGATGGTAGAGCCTAAGCTTATCAATAGATTAAAACCTCACACGCGCAAGGTCAATAGATGTAAAACGCCTAAATCTAGCAAAGCTTCATAAAGGTTTCATTGTGCAGAATGGATAGTATAGAAATGAAAAAACTAGGGCATTTTTATTACACATGTCACTAAAACTGGCTAATTCGGATCCCTGAAATACAGCCATTTTAGTTTTTCTACCTGGCTATTAGATGAAACACATTAACCATCAACTGCATTTGTAGAGAGCTTGGCAGTTTAAAAGTTTCTCGGATCTCCAAAGATAATTAGCTGAAGATACTGCAAAACTCATAATTCAAAGTAGGATGAAATATTAACAGGCTACTTGATGAAAGGTCTTTTGACAAGAAAAATTTATGACTGTAACCTGGTTTGAACGACCAACTACAGCTTCTTATGCAAATATTTATCACAACAGTATTTCGGATAGAAATCCTAAGAAAATGCTAACAAAAAAGATGAAAAACTATATTGCTGGCAAGAATCGGCTCTCTAATTTCTATATTGTATGAGGGAAGTTGAATTCTGGTAAACTTTGGCATAGAAAGAACATGATCCGAGATACTTAAACTTACCTCTCCTCATCTCTACCCGAATTTATTTCACGTTACACAAATATTTACAAAGCAAACTCTAAGATATACTGCAACTCGACTTTGATAATAAGAGATCGAATTCCGACAATATCATAAAAAAATGTATCACAAAAATCTCAATTTTAAATGAAGGGTCATCTTAGGAGTCACGAGGAGCTTCTTAGGCAAGTTACTGTGCATAGAGAGCAGGGAAGGCGATGTAATACCTTGAAAAGTTTTAATTAGGGTCAAAATCTGGAAAACTAAGCGCTCAAATTGGTTTGGAATAGAAAAAGATTGTTCGAGAGAGTAGCAATGTCTCCATTGGCCTATCGCTGCCTCTAATACTAAAATGGGAGATTTTAGGACTCTATTAATATTTCGCACAAGCCGTAGTGATGTAAGCACAGTGTTTGTGACAGCTGTGTATTGTACAACGCAAAATCTTGGAAAAAAATGGGGTAAATTTATCGTGTAACAAATGTATTTGCCAACTTGGATAGTCGCGGGTTGACGATAACTTGTGACCTCAAGTTCAATAAACCAAACACCTGAGCGCCCATTTTGTTTGTCAAGCGTAAGTTTAAATTAAAAATATACAAATTTGTATGTCTCTGATATGCTACTGCAGATGGCTGGAACGAGGTTTGTTCCCTAGGTCTCCCTGCCTTGTATCATGCACTAGGTGAAATTCGAGGTAGCAAATTCCCCAAGCTCGTTCGAACGCTACCCCTGGCCATGTACGGTCTAGGCAATATCGTCAGCCATCATGTCTCTCATGAACTCAGGATATGAAATTTAAAGCAAGTTGTGATATACTCTACTGTATTCATATATGTTAGTAAGCAGAAATTTCCTATCCAACCAACTTTGGGCATGCTTCAAGTAACAAGTACAGTGCTCGAACACGTAGAGCTCCATGTTTTGGGCCGAAAGCACTAGCGAAGGCATCCTCAACACAGCGTTGTAAGTATAACATGATTTCACGGGTCGGTTGGTAGTGTAATTATGTCTCAATGTAAATTTGGTCTGCAGGGTGGCAAGAGCAATGGTAAAAGGCCAATCATTCCGTGGAATCTTCAAATTTCTAGACCGCTCAAAGGGCACCCAAGGAGCTACAGATAAAAGGGCCAGCCAAGATAGTGGGTCGTAATGAAGTGCATGTTTGATGTATAGCTTAACTCTGACCAGCTATGCTAGTTCTACACAGTTGCATGGTGCATTGCAGCCCTCGACAGCAGTGAAAGGGCTATACTGGGAGTGGCGAGTGCCAATTCATGTTTACGGGTGACGTATCGCAGTAAAAGTGTATGCGCTGAGGCAAAATTAGGCGAATAGACTGGTAAACTATGATGGTCAATTGAGTGTGAGATTGCGAACAATGGCAAACGGACTTTCCGCAGCTCTCAGCCGTGGCCGGAGAATTGGCACGGGCTGGGGGGGGGGGAGGCAGGCTGTTCTCTCCCGTGCAGATGTCGATGATCGACAAGCATCCAGATGCCACCGCGGCACTACCCTTAAATTTTGATCGACTGTCGGAACGGTTGAATCTAAGAAATTAACATGAAACTAAGTCGCTTCGGCGCAGTAATAACTACATTGGACGGCATTTGAGTTAAAATATGTGAGTCGATCCATAGGAAGCGGTTCGGCGTTTATAGATGGAAATCCCGACAATTAGCGTCATCGAGGCCCTGCTAAAGTGCTGCAATACAAGGGACGAGAGATTTGGATACAATAGACTTTTGGAAGAGTAATGGGGCTGCTATCCAATAGAGATATGTCCTACAAAGACGTAGACTGAGAAAGGAGAATATTGTGATCCAAAATTTCCTATTGGTCCATGCAATCAGGTTATCCATCTACGCCTAAAAGCGTTTGAAATGACCGGTATAGATTCCGGTTGTCAGCGAAGCCTGCTTCTACTTGTGCTCCCGCATTACAGGATGGAAATTTATCGGAAACTCAAACCTTGTACCTTCTATCGTCTTCTGGGACTAGACTTTTCAGATACACTAGCTTAAAACCAAATCTAACGCTGTGAATGTCTTGGTCGGAGCTCTTTCCCACTACCGGAGGGGAGTTATACCTCATTTTGACTTGAAAGGCCATCATGTTTTAAGCTTCATTTGCGGTTATCTCAATGACGTATTTCTGCTTGCACCGTAACCAACTCTAGTCCCTAAAGTATCCGCTCGAGTGCAGCTATGAAACTTCGTTTAACCTTGCATGCCTTCATCCGAACTGAGGGTAGCTATGTCTTTTGATTCAATCATGATGTTGGTATTGGGAGAGCCCCGCTCCCAGTGGTTTTTGAGACTCACTCTGCAGCTACACACCCGCAAATAATCATCGTTTCGTTGGCTGGAGGGAGGGTAAAGGACGGGATAATGGTTCCTTTAACTGTGTACTCAAATGAAGATCCGTGGGGATTTTACTACTTGATCGAAATCGCAAGGTGAGTATAAATACACCTGGCCTGTAGACATAAGGGAGCTATATTTCCTGGTACAGTCACGGGCCCAATAGGACAACAAAAATAATTCTATTATATTCTTCATCCGAAATGACACCATCGACGCTATGGATTTTTAGGGAACTGGTTGGGACGAGCAACCAGTCTCTTATTCCGCGAGGGAAAATTGCCTTGACAAACTATAATCAGTGTAGCAGTGGGGACTGGGTGATGAATGATTGCGCCATACAGCCATAATATCTCCGTAGCTGCCCTACCAATCAACCCTGGAACTAGGGCGGATTACTACAGAAAATTTCCACTAGTGTGACGGCAGTGGCTCAAGGAAACTTTAAGTGATGCGTGGCCATGTCTGAAAGGCGGGAGCGCTGTAAGGTGTGTCCGAACTAGGATATTGGGGACGGCGCTAAAGGCCACCATACTATTCGCGTCGTCTACAGTGGCCTGGCGATTAGGGCTGTTGAGAATTGGAGTGCGCACCAGCCGACATGCAGACCCCACCATGTGCATCCTGCCTTTGGTCTCTCTTCACATGTCACGTATAACTGTGCATCGAGCAGTCTGTATCGTGAACCTCATATCATCGGCGTACCCAGATGCAACATAGTAACTTTTATCAGAAAAGGCCTCGTGAAAGCACAGTTATAAAAGATTCCTGCTCGAGTATCGGTGAAGAAAGAAGGTCAGGGCTTGTTTCAAGACCACAGGAGCATGTAAGGGCGTCGCCATGGTAAAAGCGCCGATGGTACATTACAAGTTCTCTATACCTAGCGTGAGCTGCAATCATAGCGCCTATTGCCCGCCACTTCAGGTCGGCCAGTTCTCGTGCCTTAGTAACAAGGATTTAGGTTAGGATAAGGCTCGCTAACTCAACATGACGTATTGACTCGGACACGCTTCAAATCAAAATTGTGCACATGTTTGGCTACCTTGGCCTTCTAACGACAACGTGTCAGGAGACTACTTATCCTTCAAATTTGGCCCACGATTCTTCCATTGCTACCAGACTTAAACAAATCTCTTCACCTGCAACCCCCCTTCCTTGGCTGAAATCTGTCTGCGGCTTGTGAAAATCAAGATAAACATGGATATAAATCTACAACACCAAAGTTTCTCAAGGCCTATTACTTTCTTCTGATAATTACTTTCTGTGTTGTTCGAGCTACATCCTCCGTTTATTTACGGAATTCTCAATGTTCCAGTCATATCTGTGTTGCAAATGAAATCATAAGGAAAGCCGGGAAAGGTGGAGCCGCTCATCAGAGCTTGACTGTATGTTTTCAAGTCAACATGTGAGTTACAATGAAGCTTAGCTTAATCCGCACCGACATTGCGGCTGGATTGTCGTGCTCAAAGTATAGAATCGGAGTGGATTGTCGGCTGCGGGGCTATTCGAGTTGAGCACGCGCACGTGGCCCGGGATAGTAGTAGTAATATGGTTGGGATAAAACTCTACAATCTACTTCAGATATAGCATCGTCAGGCATTGTTGGACGGCACTAATTCACAAACCAGTTAATTCCGCATCACTTGGACACGCACAGATAGCAGGCTCTGTCTACGCTTGGGCAACCGTGAAATTAGTACCATGAGAATGCTAAGATAGGACGATTTTCCATCACCGACGTTGGTTACAAAGTACAAAATACAATGAGATGAGGCTCGAAGAATTTGCAGCTTCTCGTATTACAAATTTTGGGATTAGGGTGTGGAAAGGTGTGATCTCTTCCGCTATACCTACTCAATCACAGTGGCAAATAGTTTCGCAACACCCAAACAAGGTAGCCATCGAGCGGAATGCTGCTAGGTTCCCAACCCAAGAAACTCTAAACCTTCTCCAGCAATTTTTGATAATTGCAGGGTACTCGATACGTCAGTGCGCATTTTTTGTCTATGACCTATGGCTCAGAGAATTCCAGCACATCTCGGCATACATTGACACACCCAATCCGTCGTAAGGGATTTAGAGCAAGGTCAGCATTGGGTACAAACCCAACTTCCCCGCATATACTTAATAATAGAGTGCGATTTTACTTCTTGAGAAGTGTAAAGCAAACGAAAGATTGTGAAGGGCTCTTCCAACACCCTCACAATCAGCTTCGGCTCGACACCCTACGGACCGTTATAGCGGAGAGCTGACTTTGTGGCTGGTTTTCGTTACCATGGCTATTCTCGGTGAGGGTAAGTGAATGGAGGTCGGTTCCCAGTGTTACGACTGCGGAGGACATATAATTGTCGGTCGCTCGCGGTGGCTGGTTTCTAGCAGTAAGTCATCAGGATGTGGTAACAGGTGCGTTTAAGGGATCTGTAACCATGTGTCTCAAGGAAGCGGGAGGCTCGGGTAGCCAAGGGATTGAGGTGTCATGAGCTGGGGAATACCCTTAGATCACGCAAGCAACATGATAGGAGGTAGACTAAAAGCCTTATTTCGTAAATACCTGTCTAGCGGTAACTTTAGCGGTGTCAGCGCACTGAAGACGCTAGCTTGTGTGTCTTAATATGTTCCGATTTTTTTGGGTCGTCGTGAACTCAGAGTGACTTGATACGAATTCCACTTCCGAATCAAATTTTATTTAGTCACGTGAATTGTTTCACAGGTTCATAGCGGCTGCAGTAGCTCACCATGAAACTTATGACGATGCTTTGAATTAATATGTTAGTCCGAATATGTTTGTCGGAACACCATATCTCATTCCTGTATCAGGCGGTGTTGCAGTGACTCAACTCAGCGACAGTAATTATGGTGTAGTTTACGAAACAATTGTGCAGAGAACACTAATGCATCGGTTCAGTCATCCAGTCTTTCTGCTCACTGACCCTTATATCCGTCTGTGCTCTTTGTAATGAGTTGAATATGAGACGAAGTTAATCCAGAGGTCTCCGAGGTATCCCTACCGTATCTATCCATTCCCGTGTCCGACCAAAGAATTTAGATGTTACGAGGTTCGTCAATAAGTACCTTGCTCGTCTCGTGCCTTCATCTATCACCAGCGAGTGAAGGAACCCTAATTTACCCGCTACCGCCCTGGTGAGGTACCCCCGTCCACACAATTTTCGACACCCAATCCTCTATCTGCCACTATTCTTCTTTTACAATTATCACTACCGCTTCCATCAGCGCTACATTTTCAGTTCCCTCTCACTCATTTTATTTTTCGTTAATCATAATATTGTCTGGACCCCTCTCGCCCACGCTCATTCACTACCCCGAACCGATTCAGTCTCTCACTTTTACCACTATCATTTGATTAATACGCCCGCTCGAAAACAATCATAATACCACCTCATTGAAAAATAATAAAACCCACTTCATAATGGGAGGAAACCCACGAGCTATGCGCCCTCATGTTATGCGACCGTCGCCTCTTGCTCAAGTCTCCCACCAACGCGCTCTATCCTCAGTGTCTATGGCTTCAGATTTAGCGCATAACCCACTCTTCTGGAAACAATTTTCAATCACAAACCGTACTGAACTGGCTGATCCAGAAAATGGGTGGAGCACCAGTTCGCATAGCGATTCGAGCGTATTATCACGAAAAAAAACAGACGGGTAAGTGCCCACTGGGCCTAGACACAGTGACGTGTGAAGGCTGATTTGGCAAACAGAGACGAATGGCTTGCACAACAACACAGGGAGAAGCGGCGGTGTCGCTTAACTGCACTTTTTATAACCGGAATACTGATAACGGTTATAACGTGTGCGTCGATCGTAGGGTGGCATTTCACAACCGGAAGAAGGAAGCTCATGGGTCGTAGCATGCGATGATCCTATTATGAAGCAAAATTACGAGACATGAAAATTTGTACTGCTTACTGTTGTGCGGTCAATTCTTGGAGTTAGAGGCGAAGAGCGAAGACGGGAAGGTCCAACCTCTACCGCAATAATTGATATTTGTTCATGGCGGGGAGAATTTATGACGCGTCTATACAGACCAAGGCAAAACTTGACGATCCTTGATGGTGGAAGCTGTATTTTATTAACCTCAAAGCGAGATTGAATTAACTAAATGTAAACTTCTACAAACTTATTCTGTAATAGTGATCTAGCAGAGATATGTATCCGGTGAGGTTTCCGAAAGAGTCACCATTTGGAGTCCGTACTGAACTGTGGAAATAGCCTCATAGTTTCAACACAAAGTGCACTACTAAGAGTTTGAAGGGCTCAAATCAAAGATGTAGCGGGGAGGTCGGTTTTTGATTAGCTTACAACCATCGAAGAACCATGAAAATTACGGGGATCTGATAGCCTTTGGCATCAACAGAGTGGTTAGGTTGATGGCAGGACAGAATCATAGAGTGAGTTCTTGAGTGTGAGGATGGCTCAAAGATTTCTGGTGTTCGCAGTGCGTCAAGCTATAGTTCCTTGGTACGAGGTAAAATATATCAATTGCCTGCGTAACGCTGTTGACATCACAATACAGTGATATTTCGGTCTAATTTACGGGTTCGGTGGTATTTGGAATTATCGCACATTGCCTTAGAGCCTTAGAGCTAGCGAATTTGGAAAGGTACGGTGGGCTACCAAAGCCAAAGAATCTGCTACTATCTATCGATAGACCTCAGTGAAATTTTTGATTGGCTCTAGATTCTCTAATCGATCATTTGACCCATGTTTTTTGTTCCGAAGGAACAATGTGTATCGGAAAGATTGTTTACTTTTGATTACAAGCAGGTACATCCAGCCGACGATATTGGTGCCACTATCAACGGCAACTTCGCTCAGACTCTTCATGACCAAGTTTTCAAGCGCAAAATACTCTAGATCTGCTAGCCCAAGGCCACTTGGGATTGTTGTTGTTGTTGTTGTTCATGTAAACATGTCTTTGCTCATCGCTAGTGGAGACGGAGAGCCAATAGGCAGGGTACGCGCTCTAACTAGGATCAATGCTTTGAACTCCAACATCTATGGGAAAGCCTTGTCGGGACGAGCAGGGATCCATGTCATGGATGGGGTGGACTGCGGCTGACTTGCCGATATGGGGTAAACTTGGGGGCCAGAAGTTGGCCATGGCACGAGGGCGAGCATGAGAAACATAGTCCCCAGCTACAGCCTAACCGAGCTTCCTCAACTTTCGTCCATGGCCTAGCTTCCCCACCCCTTCTACTTTCAGCTTTGCATGATAGAGAATTAAGCTTTTTGAATCGCCAGCCTTCCTCGCTGTAGCATTCTATCAAACCATTAAATCCGTGGTGAGTGGGAATCCTACTGAAATATGAACATTTCAAATCCTGATCGCCCTAGCTCCCGCTGTTCCGAGCTTCCTAACCCATAAACTTTGAGCTATTCTTGCTAACCATCAAAGCTTCTATCAGTTCCATCAAGGCTCTTAAGCACCACCATAATCTCTCTTCTACACACTTGATTCAAAATATCAAGTGCCCTTGCGTTCGAAGACACCAATATTGCAGCGAAACTTTAAGATGACATCTTTTAAGAATGCGCTACCGGCTCACCTAAAAGGGTCTGCCGGCAAGTCCTTATCTTTATCACCAGGTGATCACAATGAACAAAATACTCGCAAGCACCACGGCAAGACTCAATCACACATGGTGAGTTTTTACATCTATAGGCGTTGGTGGTCTATCTAGACAGGGTAGCTCCAGTGAGCTACCGAAAGAGGTAGGGGTAGTGGGCGAGGATAGTCCTGCGTTATCAAATGTAAACTCCTCAACGTCAAGGACAAGCCATAAACGGCAGGAGCCGTATTTTATTTGCATAACTTGTTAAGCTGTATATCAGTTCTACTGCTTAAACTAAACGTCAATGTTGGTGTCTCTTTCCTTGCGGATTGGGCAAGCAGCCCATTCAACATGAGAGGTAAACAATTCGATCATGGGGCTCTCTTATCCTTATCTTTCATCTGCAGTATTATTCTACTTCAAGTTGTCTGCTCATCTTACAGTCCTTTGATCTGTAGTCATGGTTTCATTGAACAGCTCTTCACATTTTAAAATTCGAGCTTACACCACTGTCGAGCGTGTGGTTTCACCATTACTAAAGAATCCCTGTCTTCAAGAGATCGCTAACCTAATACAACATGAAAAGGCTTTTGAAAATACTTCGACTTCTGTCGCCGCAAGCCAGATGCGAAATGCATTGAACAATCTCGCCGACACGGTGACCGATTCGGTGGAAAAGAAGCTCTTTGAAACAGAGATGGACAACTTCTTTGCTCTATTCCGCAGATATCTTAACGACAAGGCTAAGGGAAATACACTGTAAGTTCCGCATAGTTTTAATGAATATCTAGATATCTAAACTCTATAGTGATTGGGATCGTATTGCCCCGCCTGCACATGATCAAGTTGTTGATTACAGTGAGCTCTCAAACTCTGAGTCTGTAGGGTTTCTCAGTAAGCTTGCTGTGCTTAAGTTAAATGGCGGCCTGGGGACCTCCATGGGTTGCGTTGGACCCAAGTCCGTGATTGAGGTCCGTGACGGAATGTCTTTCCTGGATCTCTCAGTCCGACAAATTGAGTACCTTAACCGTACCTATGACGTAAACGTTCCTTTTGTTCTAATGAATTCATTCAACACGGATGACGATACACAAAACATAATTAAAAAGTATGAGGGCCACAAAATTGATATACTAACTTTCAATCAATCACGCTACCCCCGAATTCTAAAGGACTCTCTCCTTCCAGCTCCAAAATCGAACAACTCACCTATTTCTGACTGGTATCCTCCAGGACATGGTGATGTATTTGAATCACTCTACAATTCTGGCACTCTCGACAAATTGATTGAGCGCGGAGTTGAGATTCTATTTTTATCTAATGTCGATAATCTCGGGGCCGTCGTGGATCTTCGCATCCTTCAACACATGGTTGAAACTGAAGCTGAATATATCATGGAATTGACTGATAAAACTAAGGCTGATGTAAAAGGTGGAACAATCATCGACTATAATGGATCGGTTCGTCTACTAGAGATTGCTCAAGTTCCTAAGGAACATACCAATGAATTTAAATCCATAAAAAAGTTTAAATATTTCAATACCAACAATATTTGGCTGAACCTTAAGGCAGTAAAGCGTATCGTTGAGAGGAATGAGCTCGAAATGGAAATTATCCCTAACAACAAGACTATTCCTGCTGATAAAAAAGGCGAGTCAGATATTTCAATTGTGCAACTTGAGACAGCTGTCGGAGCTGCTATTCGCCATTTCAAGAACGCTCACGGCGTTAATGTACCAAGAAGGCGTTTCTTGCCGGTCAAGACATGTTCCGACTTGATGCTCGTAAAGTCAGACTTGTACTCTTTGAAGCATGGTCAGCTACAGATCGATCCAAATCGATTTGGTCCTGCACCTCTTATAAAACTCGGTAATGACTTTAAAAAAGTATCAGACTTTCAGAAACGTATCAGCAGTATCCCAAAAATTATCGAACTAGACCATTTGACAATTACAGGAGCCGTGAACCTCGGAAGAGGAGTCACTCTCAAGGGAACAGTTATAATCGTTGCAACCGAAGGTAGCACTATTGATATACCCCCTGGATCTATCTTAGAAAATGTGGTTGTTCAAGGCTCATTACGACTTTTAGAGCATTAGAACGACAGAATTTCAGGAATATTGCCGGGTCAGGGCTAGACTCGTAAGTTTAACGCGATAACGGCGTTCTTTGATTATGCTGGAGAGGAACAGCTCCGATGGTAGGAATTTTGTGTACATTCCTTTTCAATCACTTCGTAGTAATTTGCGTGGGCACAATTAAGAGCTACAGTTTAAATATTAATGACAAGTCTGTCGTCATCATCAGTTTGAAGGGTTATCTATGCTTTACCTGAACAGGTAATCATAGATCATGAAGCAGGTTATGTTATTATACGACTGAGCTGAAGTAAGACTCGTCAGCTTAAAGTGGACTTCGTACTGTGATATTTCTACTTTCCATGCATACCCCGGCATTCTCGTTCACGCAAGGAAAGGCCACAATATATAGTTTGCTTGGTTATTAGGATTCCGGTTATCTAAAGACTCCTGCTCGTACGATCAGTCTAAAGCTGAGCGGCTGTCGGGACTGCAAAGCTAGAAAATTGGAAAAGCCGTTGCTATCTGTTTAAGTTTTGAGAGAGTTAAGCTTCATCTGCACCGTGATAAGCTGTAGCAAACTGGCAATACAGATGTACAATTGGGCGTGTTTGGCGAGCCACCACTCTTATATGCGACCAATTTTTCAAGGTGTTGGCAGAGCAATCAGCTTTCTCGGCTATCGTCGCACAAGGCCCTGGATACGACTTCTGAAGGTCTGTGCCGAAAAGTCTCAAACATACTGTAGGCTCTACGCGAAAGTTCATACTTTTGCTTTGCATTGATTCTGGATAGGTCATCGTTTTCTGTAGCAGTGGCGCACGCTCTACTACCTCTCTGAATGTACTTATCCACTGCTTCGAACTGATTGTATATTTCCTGCAAATTCCTGGGGCTAGTGGCGACATTTACCATGCACTGATGTAATTCTTGACCTATTGGTATTCTTTCAAGAGGTAGCCGCGACGACTTAAGACGACTGATCTTTGGGCCCTTAGTGCTGTCCGCGCGCGGTCCGAAATGACCCAGCTGGCGGATAAAGTAGCCGCGTGGGTCACTTTCTGGAAGAGAAGTTTTAGGAGTTGAATGAGCTGTAAAGTCTACATCTATGTCCTGTGCCAATGATGGCTCATCAGCTTCCGCTATTTTAGAATGTGTACGGGCCAACCGATTTCGTAAATCGTGATCATGGCCAGATTTCTCAACTTGTTGGACTATACCAATATTTTCCCCTGGACGGGTCGTAGCTTTTTCATTTCGATTCTCGCAGTCCATGGCCAAATTTGGACTTAAATCATGATTACTGTTGACCATAACATCGCCTCTGCTGCTTGGACTACCTCTACATGATAAAATTGCGCTGCTAAGCGCAGCTTGTCGCATTTTTTTATTTGTGGGTGTGGTGTCTACCCTGGGTGGAGTTCTAGGCAATTTATTGACTCTTCCTTTTTGGTTTGTATAAGTTGTTGAGTCTGAATTCTGAAGAGGTTGTGAGATTACATCTTTAGCACTAACAAACCCATGACGATGAATTGTCGTACATTCCTCTGTAGACATAAGATCCTCATTCGTGTCATTGAATTTCGAATGCCCCGCAAGGGAAAGCGGAATGGGTAGATCTTTTGGTTCTTGCTGCTTAATAAGCTCCACAGAAGAGATGAATGATGGGCTGCTACATCGAGAAAGTGTAGGGCTTTTTCTTCCGCTATGAATTTTTCCTGTCTGGCTTAAATCCGAGTCTTCTATAACAGAGCTTGAAGAATGCTGCAGCGTTGGAAAAGATTTTAGTGCCAACTTTTTACTTAAAACTAAATTCCTTCCACTATCTTTGGTTTGGATTGGTGAAGTCATCTTTGCAATCATCCAAGGATTTAAATGATTTTCACTAGGACTTTGATTTAGTTGCTCTGGTATCTCGGATGGAATCAAGCTTCGAGACGAAGCTCTAGGACTCGAAGTTTCGACCGAGCTAGCTTTAGAAGTTTTCCTTTCAATCTGCTTTCTAAAGCCATCTCTTTTAGGACTTGAGAGGGCTATATGTTGAATCTCACCAGTCTTACTTCGCCGAGATGCCTCCGCTGGAGTGTCTTGCAGGGCAGAACTCTCTACAGAATCTATGCAAACATTCAGGGGGCCCTTTGTTACATTCAGAGGTAATGGGAGCTTAGATCTGTCTCTGTTACTCGGGTCAAAATTTTGTGGAAGCTTTGGTGAGAATTTAGAGCCATCGTAAATATTTTGAAAAGCCTTTTCGAAGTTTCTTAATAGAATAGATTCATGAATAAATATTACGTCGTTCTTTGCAGGCTCTACGTTGGGATCGTAACTTTCTCTGGGACATTTAATATCTAGACGTAGAAATAGTTGAGAGCTCTTAAGTGAAGTTTCAGGTAAACAATTTTTAATATGACGTTTGAATATGGCAACAATCTTCTTCATGGTCCCTTTTTCATGCGAAACCGGTCGACCATCAACTGATAGATATTGACCATGCGAGATTTTTGAAAAATCTGCGTCTTGTTTTGGCAAGAACATATCTAGGAAAAATCGATTCTCATCTAAGGGAACATTATCAACAACGTTGCTTTCCTCGAGACTCAAGTCTTCGGTGTCTAGGAACAATAGAGATTTCTTCATACACTGGCTTGCTACTTCCCGACCTATAATTTGTGAAACAACCTCCTTTATTCCATCATTAGGTCGAGGAGAAAAAGACCAATTGCCTTTGCCTCCTTTAATGATCTTTAAGCAGAACCTGATATGAACTCGGGCTAATGAATATGCGCGTAAGAGCTCCTTTATATTTGCGATAGTCTTCATCGCATCTTTTATAGAGGCCTGCTTTCTCACAGGCACTGACGAAAGGAAATCTGTTACAGATACGGTGGTGCCAATGGGATGGGACGTGGTGACTTTGGATTCTATGCCACCCATAACTTTGAACTTGGCCATAGTAGCAATTTGCTCACCTTCACACTTTGACGTTATGGTAACTTTTCCGAGCTGTATAGCGCTAAAAAGAGCTTCTCCTCTAAAGCCAAGGCTGGTACCGCCAATTGATTTAAGATCTTCGAATGATCGTAATTTACTCGTGTGCCCGCGCTTCCCGAGAGAATCGAAATCTTCTCTTTGTATTCCGTGGCCATTGTCTCTTAATTCTATTTTATCGAGTGTATTCGGAGATATGATAATATCAATAGACGTGGCATTCGCATCAATCGCATTATCAATGAGCTCCTTGATGAGAGAAGTTGGGGTTGTCAGGACTTGAGTAGAACCTAACAAGCGCACTGTAGATTCAGGAAGAGGCGCTATAGACATTCTGAATACAGCAGAATTATTTAAAATTAATAATATAGCGCAATTAGGAGGGCCTTCTAGTAATATCTGAATGAATAACTACATCATTATATCATCCGTGTTAAGAGAGCAGGAGGGGATTAACTATGCCAAGAGATTCATCATATGCGACGGGCTAATAAAGATGCCGCACACAATCCGGACTACTTCATATCCGGAGGAATAAATTACGTGAGACAAGAATCACAACCCTTTAATCCATCTTTTAGTCATCTTTATAAATCAAGAGGTTCGGTGACAAGACGTCTCAATTATTATTCAGAGCGCTTTTGGCGCGAAGGCTGTCTCACAGGTTAACCTCCTTCTCTTTATTCGCCAGGATGGCTGATAACTACGACCCAAGTAGGGGAACATTACCCTGTTCACTTGTCCTGAAAAATAAATTAACACAAATTAGTTGAGAAAGATATAAGTCAAGTTCCTAATGCTAATCACCCGTTTGAAAATGAGACAATGACTCTTTTGGCAAGCGCTACGAACCCTAGTGTTACAAAATTACAGGTCAACGACTTAGTCTCAGGTTCAAGGCCATCGGCTTTACTACCCTGCTCGGCTAATAATAAAGTTAAGAGTGAAAAGGAATGTAAGAAGGCATTTTCTGAATCCAGAGTAATTTTTTGACTCTAATTTCTTAGTGGAAAAAGAACGTAAAAAGGCGGAAAAGCAAGCAAAGTTCGACCAAAAAAAGAACAAGACAGTTACATCGAGCATTGCAACAACCAGCAAAAATAAAGAGAAGAAAGCTACAGCGCTGAAAAAATCTGAGAATGAAATTCTCCCAGACTACATTGAAGATACCCCCTTTGGCGAGAAAAAAAGTAATATTTTTTGGTAAAATTGACAAAAGCTATCGCTAATTGAGACTAGTAATTAAATCATTTGAAAACCCCTACTTCAAAGCATACAATCCAATCGCTGTTGAATCCGCGTGGTATGCATGGTGGGAGAAAGAGGGATATTTTAAGCCTGAATTTACTACCGATGGCGAGGTTAAAGCAAAGGGTTCTTTTGTCATCGTCGAGCCTCCTCCAAATGTGACTGGAAATCTGCACATGGGACACGCTTTAGGAACCGCGCTACAAGATGTGCTGATACGATGGAATCGCATGCATGGTAAAACAACTCTCTGGCTACCAGGTTGCGATCATGCTGGCATCTCTACTCAAAGCGTGGTAGAAAACATGCTATGGCGTCGTAAACAGCAAACAAGACATGACTTGGGACGACCAAAATTCGTAGAGACTATATGGGAATGGAAAAATGAGTATCATCAAAGGATAAATAATGTTCTCAAAAGAATGGGTGGATCATTTGACTGGAGTCGAGAAGCTTTTACTATGAACGAAAATTTCTCTGCAGCAGTCCAAGAGACCTTTGTGTCTCTCCACGAGGAAGGCATCATTTATAGGGCCAATCGGCTCGTCAACTGGTGTACAAAGCTCAATACTGCTCTTTCGAATCTCGAGGTTGTAAACAAAGAGCTAATTGGTCGAACACTACTTGAAGTTCCTGGATACGAGAAAAAAATAGAATTTGGTGTCATCATTCACTTTCAGTATCCTATCGAGGGGATGGATGAGATGATAGAAGTGGCAACCACTCGTATCGAAACAATGCTCGGAGACACAGCTATTGCTGTTCATCCAGATGATCCGCGCTATCAGCACCTTGTAGGAAAAATGGCTATTCACCCCTTTATTGTAGGCCGGAAAATGCCAATTATTGCAGATACTTACGTTGAAAGAGATTTTGGTTCAGGTGCTGTTAAAATTACACCGGCTCATGATCCAAATGATTATGCGATGGGCGAGCGTCACAAGCTTGAATTTGTAAACATTCTTACTGATGATGGTAGAATGAATGAAAACGCTGGTCCATATGCTGGAAAGAAGAGATTTGATGTTCGATATCAAATTCAAGATGATCTAAAAAAACTTGGTCTATATATTGACAAGAAGGACAATCCTATGAGTGTTCCTCTATGCGATAAATCTAAAGATATTATTGAGCCTTTAATGAAGCCACAATGGTGGATGAAGATGAAGGATATGGCGGCGGCAGCTCTTAGCGCGGTAAAAAATGGTGACATTAAAATACAGCCTGAGAGTGCCGAGAAGGCATATATTCGATGGATGGAAAATGTCAACGATTGGTGTCTATCTAGGCAACTTTGGTGGGGACATCAAGTCCCAATGTACTTTGCCCAAGTTGAGAATGGATCGAATGATGAATCTGATAATAATCTTTGGTTTTCTGGAAGAACGCTGGAAGAGGCTGAAGCCAAAGCAAAGAAATCTTTCCCAAATCAGGAATTAACCCTCAGGAGAGATGAAGATGTGTTAGATACATGGTTTTCCTCTGGACTTTGGCCGTTCGCAACATTGGGATGGCCTAAGAAAACTCACGATTTAGAAAAATTGTTTCCAACGAATTTACTGGAAACTGGATGGGATATTCTCTTTTTTTGGGTTGCTCGAATGATTATGTTTAGCTTAAAGATGACTGGGAAAGTACCTTTCTCAGAAGTATATTGTCACTCCTTAATTCGCGATTCTGAAGGGAGAAAAATGTCAAAATCTCTTGGGAACGTCATTGATCCCCAAGATGTAATTGAAGGGATCTTATTAGAAAACTTGCATAACAAACTTTCTCAAGGTAACCTTGCGCCCGGAGAAGTGGAGAAGGCCACAAATTATCAAAAAACTGCTTTCCCAGACGGTATACCGCAGTGTGGTACTGATGCTTTGCGTTTTGCCTTGGTATCATATACTACTGGAGGCGGAGACATAGCCTTCGACATCAAGGTAATTCACGGCTATCGTAAATTCTGCAATAAAATATATCAAGCTACCAAGTACGTCTGTGGGAGGCTAGGCTCGCAATTCATACCCCCAAAGACTAGTAAGCCAACACGGGAAGAATCTTTGGCTGAACGATGGATTTTGCACAAAATGAACATTGCCACACAGGAGATTAATCAGGCCCTTCAGGATCGTGAATTTATGAAATCTACAACCATCATCTACCAATATTGGTATAACCATCTTTGCGATGTATTTATCGAGAATTCGAAGACTATTTTTCAAGAAGGCACAGCAGAAGAAAAGCTATCAGCCTTAAATACACTCTACACTGTCCTGGATTGCGCACTTACGATGATCCATCCATATATGCCTTTTCTGACTGAAGAATTATGGCAAAGGTTACCACGTCGTCCAGGGGATAGGACCCCGTCTATAGTCTTAGCCCGATACCCTACATATGACGAGCAATTTGATGATCCTTTGGCAGAAACCGCCTATGAGCTTGTCCTAGGAATATCTAAGGGTATCAGGTCTTTGATGTCGGGATATTCAATCAAGGATGAGGGCTTAGGTATGTATTGAAATACTGTTACATTAAATTGACTGACTAGAAAATTCAGTATTTATCCAAACCTTTGACACTATCTCTTCCACTACAGCCTTAGAACAACTTGCATCGATAAAGTCTTTATCTGGAAAAGGCATTGCCAAAATTTCCTTACTGAACTCCACTGATTCGAGACCTTTAGGCTGTGTAGCCTTCACAGTATCATCTACCGCTGTTGTATATCTTCAAGTAAAGGGCCGAGTTGATATTGAGAGTGAAATATTAAAAACTACCATGAAACTTGAAAAGACAACTCAAGGTATTGCGCGACAGAAAAAGATACTTGGTGACAAGAATTACCAAGCGAAAGTTAGTGAACAGTTGCAGGATGTTGAGAGAAAGAAGCTGCGAGACCTTGAAGTAGAAAAAAATACATTTGAGGTGACAATCAAGCAATTTGAAAGTATTAATTGCGAATAGGCGATTTCATGTATCTATCGTCAACGTAAGATTTTCATTAATTGTGCATTCTAGAAGCTGCTAAACTAAATTCTTGTGACTGGCTGAACTTATTGTACAACAACTCTAGCCGTAAACTATGTCAGCACACGGGGTCGGGTGGTGCAGTGATACACCATTCGGGCCGTTCTCCCAAGTAGATACTGGGTAGCTTGAACACCTACCACATGTGAGGCAGGAGAAAGCTGGTTCGAATCCAGTGAGACCTACATACCACTCTCTTTCGCGGTAAAAGTGTACTTGCGGGATGGTGAAAGCATACTTGGGTAGCCACAAGGTTTTCACGCTTTTCCCTGTGGTGTGGGTATACATGGAAGAGGTTATACGCCGTAAGGGTTAACCTCGAGTGGTATCTGCAAATGAAATCTGAGTGTTAGTGTCCTAAACGTCAAATTGAGTCATCCTACTTAAGGCACATATCTTCCGATAAAACCCTGCATGGGCCTCAGGGCGCTAAACCAAGATAACTGATTAATTTATTTATTATATCAGCAGATGTTCCCTAACTGCGAACCATAGATTTCTTGGAGAAGATAGGACTATAGGGCGTTCACTTTTCAGCATGATATTATTCCCGAAATCAATTTGTTTTGTTTCCCGCGTAGTCCGACTACAAGTTTAGTGAAAACACACTGTCACGAAAATTGTGTGATCAATTTCTCTTAACATGGAGGCCATGCCATAGCCACATGGTACCCCATAACAATAAGCCCGCATCAAGCTAGATCGATTTTGTGGGATTTTTACGGAATCTAAGCTATTCAGATGTAGGTTAATGTACCAAGGATTCGCTGTATTGTGATCAATGCAGAGGCGAGATCGGGGATAAGCCCTGTACGGAGCATTCTTTTACGTTGTCGCGCACCAGTTTATCTAATTCGAGTGCTTTTAAGCCAGATGTAATCTAGACCCACAAGAGCGTGACTTAGACTGGGGTAGTTGTAATCACTATACTCTGCCGTAGTCTGCTCGTCGTTACCTTTGATATTTATGAGTAAGAGTCTGAGTCGGCGACAACTCATCTTGGACACATCTATATCGTCACATAATAATAGAGGCCGCTCTAACCTTTGATCAGAGTGATACCGTCATGCTGGGGAAGTTAGAGTCTTGATTCAAAATACTGGCTAATGAGCCTCAATTGGCTAAATGGCCGTTCTACAGCTTGAACTGATTTTTTTATTTCATTACGTTAGATTATCGACTTCCATTAGGACCTTTTGGCAGGTCTCTCACCAACAGGCGCACTTTTCCTTGCCCTATTTCGTGCCCTTGGCTTAGGATATCAACGTGTTCAGCCTTGAGGTGAGAATCTTCAGCGTTCTCTTCTCGAACTAAAGACTTGTCATATGATCTAGCGTCGATACCAAGTATACCACCGACATTGTTTCTATCACCAGGGACAGAGAACTCACGATAAGCATAGCGCCACTCGTTAAGGAAACCTCGAATGGCTTTACCAACTTTATCTTTCCCGTTCTTACTGTGATGACCAGTACCAGTTATGGCATAGACGGGACGCGTTTCTTGCTGATTATCAAGGAGTACTTTTTCAAGATACTCAACAGATTCTTCGGGGTGGAGACCATGAAGATCAACATATATCTCGCAATTAGAGTTATTTCTTCGATTTCGTTCTTCATACAGCTGACGGGCAGCATCTCTATGCGCCTTCCTCATATTGTCATTTTCAGTTTGACCACGTAGACTAAGTGCCTTTGCTGCTCGGGCATCATTGCGGTTCCAAGCTTGAGCGGCGCTTATTTAATTAGATGTAAGAATTTCTCAGTTGCGACAGACACTCACCTTTGAAGAAATTTGTTTCTTAATCCGCCATGTCTAATTGCTTCTTGTCTAGCTTTGAGATATGCTTTATTTGCTTTATCACCGGTCTCTAACCACGGAATTTGTCGAGGACTTGGTATTGCTTGTGCAGCGGCACTATTTTCCCCACTACTAATGTTGGAAGCACTCCCGTTCCTGCCAAGCTTTTTGTTGTCATGTCGTAGCTGGATAGACCCTAAAGAATTGGACATTTTAACAAGCTCGGCTAGTGAGCTTGGTGTCATATTTTCCTTAACAGTTCCATGACCTCCTCGCTTACCATGGTGTTTCTTACTACCCTTTCCGATTACTGCACCAAGCGATGGGAAGGCTTCAGTATCGTCCAGAGCAGGAGCAGATATGTTCATATCTCGAGAAGCTTGATGCCTGCTACTTGGGCGGGATCTTTGACTAGACCCATCACTTACATATCCTTGCATCAATTTAAATCCAGGAGGTGCTGTGAATGTTGCTCCTTGATAATTACTAAAGGTACTCGAGGAGTTGTAAGAGTTGGGCCAATCATCTTGCACAGAATGCAATGAAGGAAACGCATTGAAATCTTGGAACTGGATTGATAATGGATTCTGGAGAGGGGGTGTGTTACTACCATCTATTGCCAAGCGACTCATAAAGTGAGTCGGATCATGAGAGAAAATGCAGGTATCTCCAGCTAGACAATTACCCATGACCCAGTACCTGTGGATGATCAGCTAAGATAAGTCAAGCCAGCAAAATTTCCTTACTTGCAGATATGATTACTAAGATCATGGCTAAATTTACAGTCCGCCCTGAGACACTGTCCTGTAGATAGCCAGAACCTGCAAATAACTCCGTTCTTAGGTTGGCCAGCTGGGGTGGTGGGTCGATGAATCTCTGGAGTCATAGATTTACCAATCAAAATAGAATTTTTAGCGTCTACAGCTCGTGCCTGAGCTGCATCTATGTTTCCGTTTTGAATATCCATAAAAGCCATAATTGTTGCACTTAGATCATAACCATGAATCGCAAGAGCAGCTTCTATCTCCTCATCTGACTTTGAAGGGCCCAAAATTGATCGTAGCATGTCATACGGACTCATATCTGACTGTTGAGGCTGTATGTACTCGGCTGCAGCTGCATTAAGACCACTGTGTGCGCCAAGAGATGAGCCATTACTTCCAATATCATCATTCACGAGCCAGTCAACATTTTCGCTTCCATAATCCCCGTAATTATCTTGTGCAGGACTGGTATCGGTGGGAAATTCATAGGCATTTAGACTAGGACTATGTGGTATGGCAGGACTGGAGAAAGCTAATCTAGGAGAAGGGCGAGGTGATGTGAAAGGCGATACAGTCGAAGATTTGGTTCGATTGAATGACTGAGGAATAAATCCGGGCGGAGCAAGAGGGCTGACCCCTAGACGAGGAGAACAAGTAGCAGCCCCACATCTAGATGAGGGCCAAGGTGCAGGTGAGGGTCTCCGTAAGACAGCATGTCGTGACAGTGTGGGTGAAGTTGAGATTGTTGCCTCTCGATGACGCCAAAGAATATCCAAGACTGTGTTTTCGAGAGAGGTCCCTGTTAGGCTCGTTTTCTTTTTCAGAAGTTCCTCCACTTTATCAGTCCTCTCCTCATCATCGAGTGTATCGTCCTGAAGCACAGGAAGACATATCTCATAGGTTTGATCAGATACCATTGTTGGTTTTCCAAATAGTCAACTAGAAGGGTGGAAAGCAGAATCGGTAGAAGCAGAGGGCTGTATTCGTTACAAGTGGTAAATATTCCACCAAATAAATGATCAAAAGGCAAGCTGCGAAAATCGGTTAGCTTATCGTAGAAATTAGAAGCGTTTGAGTAACAACGCGGAAGTATCCAATACTTTCACATATTGAATCTACATGAGTTGAGGAAAGAGGTGGAAGCCCATGATGGGGGCGACAAGGGCGTGGAACAGACGTGATTGGTTAGTGCTACCGAGCAGATTAGCAGCCACGTTTTTCAGGTTTGAAGGTAGATCGAGTGAGGTCGGGTAAATAGCTTTAATGCTACCCATAAGCTTCAAGGACATTTCAAAGGGCCAAGGTTATTCATGCCTTATTGAGGTGAAAGGACATACGAAGAGCTGGTGATTGATAATTACTCATCAATAGAATTATGATGAGGTATGATTTCTAGACTAATCAATAAAATCTTCGTATGTGATGCGCTTGCCTACCAAAATATGCACCTACGAAGACAGCCGACAAGCAGAGTTAATGGCTCCAACCTCGAACGTTATCTCGTCTCAGCCTTGTAAAGCAGCCTTGTGTCTCGATCGTGAAACCCCTCAGACATATTCATATTCAGTCTAACAAGCGTGACGGTTGACATTCCAGATTATTTACGGCACGAACCTTTTCGTGCCTAACCCTTAAAGTTATCTGTGAAACACATGACCTGGCCTTCATATATCTAAACTGCTCGCAGCAATACATTCTTTGTAGGCACCCGCTTTTAACCCACGACTCTGTCAAAATGATGGAGGATTACAGCTCCACAGCAAAAGCGCTCTCTCTTCCAATATCGCCCAGATCACCACCTTTGGGAGAACGACAAGCTCCACGTCCAAGTTGGTCTCGACATTCCTCTCGATTGTCAAGAAGAGGTCAAAATGCGTCACCAAACTCATTCGGCCGGGCTCAAAGTCGCAAGGCTCGAATTCTGAAGTCCGCTTTGAAAATACAACGGAAGATTATCTTAGTTTTTACTGGCCTTCCAGTTTATCAACAATTTATAGCAGCTCTAGCTTTTATATTCATTGCCGTTTCTATCATAATCTTCCTCATATATAACGAGCGAATATTCGGCTTCCTCACTCCATACGCCGAGAAATGGCGAGATACACGCGGCGGGTGGTTAATTCTCTGGGTTCTCACTTTTATCGCTGCCTTTCCGCCGGTATTCGGATACAGCACTACAATTACGATGGCTGGCTTCATTTTTGGCTTTCCCAACGGTTGGTTTATTGTCGCAACAGCTACAGTATGCGGCTCGTTAGTTGCATTTGTTGCCTCACGTACCATTCTTTCGGATTACGTTCATCGCATGCTCAGACAGGATAAAAGATTTGAGGCGCTTGCCTCAACACTTAAGCATGATGGGCTCAAAGTACTCTGCATGATTAGATTCTGCCCTTTACCGTATTCAATATCTAATGCCGCCATGTCAACATTTCCGACTGTTCATCCCGCTTCATTTGCACTGGCAACTGCGATAGCCTCGCCCAAACTTCTCATTCATGTCTTCATTGGATCCCGCATGGCAGCAATAGCCGATTCTGGGCAAGGTCGTCATTTAGATGCCGGGACCAAAGTAATTAATTATATTTCAATTCTAACTAGTCTAGCACTTGGCACTGCAGTAAGTTGGATAATATACAAACGTACTATCGCAAGAGCTCGCGAGCTTGAGTTTACAGAGCTCCAAGGCGGTATGTTTGACTCCTCATTAAACCTGTTATCAGACACAGACCAAATATACAGGGATTCCGTAGAGGAAGATCAAGTTTCATCACAATTGCACAGTGACCTAGCTAGCCATCGAAGTACATCGGGACAGACAGAGGGGGATAATTCTGATTACATAGACTTCGATGTCCCCTCGGATAGGGCGGTATTAATGGGCAACACTCCGGCTTAATAACATGGTGTCAGGTTTCAATGCAGGAATAAAAAATTAATATTATATTACTATAGCGAGCAGAGCCTCATGAAAATTAAAGAGGATTTTATCCACACGCAAGACTCGCATCAGATGTAATTTTTGTAGGTATACTTTTCACTAATCCTGCTGAAATATTTTAAAGTAGGCTTAGAATACGGAGTAAAGTTCCTCATATCACAAAATACGTCATCAGCAAGCCAGAGCAATTACGATTTGATCACAGGAAAGGTGTTTTGGGCCTTGTCAAAGTCTTATCAAGAATTTGCACTCACTCACCCTCGGAACTGTCGCATAAGATTGACAGCTTGTTCAATTGGGTAACCGATGAATACGGGACCAGTGAAGACCATTTGCGGCACCGGGCCATGACCGGAACTTGGAACTTGTGGATAATTTATGAACTTAGGATGGGCTTCTGATATCTTGGGCGAATGAGTTCGTGGATCATTATTCTCCTCTTCATTCATTTTAAAAAAAGGGGGTTCCAATACGGGTCGAGGGGCTTGGGGGGTTTTCTGCGCATCTTTATTGCTATCTGGATGCTCCCACGAATTCTGTGCTCTAGTAGGCCTGTCTGAAGATAGCATTGGCTCCGCACTCATCTTTGCCATGTGCCCAAATGGACATTTTTTAGCAGATCCCGATGAATCAACGGGCGATGATAGAGCAGGCTGTGCATCAATATTTAGAGGTTCTGGGGCTTGTAAATTTGAAATTGATATTCCCCACGGCCGTCCTGGCGATTCACCAACCCGAACATCTTTGAGAGGACGATCAAATGATGATTCCTTTTCATTTTTCTCAAGGGATATGTGACCTTCGTCGACCTGGCCACTCTCATCCGCACTTACGTTTTGAGCCCAAGTTACGAGTCTTTCATTAGACAGTTGCTCTAGACTAGGCTCCTCTTCTTTAGCGGATAGTATAGGTAGGTGCTTCTCGCCCAGACCTTGTATCATACTAACAAGATTACCATATTTGGCATCAAGTTTTCTGATGTGACTTTCATTTCTCTGCTGGCGTTTTACACAAATTTCGTGGCTCCGGGGAATTTCGTGTTTATGGGTCTCAAGATATTTAGCTACTTCCTCCGGAGAATGCTGATCTAGGTATCGGATGGGACATTTCGCACTTGCCGTTGCAGAATAAGGAGATTTTGTGGCATTAATTATCATTGATGGACAGAGTGGATCTGGTTCATTAAGAAGTTCCTTCTTCTGTTTAGGCATATTTCTGGAATCGACGTTAACGGTGAGATGGGGTATCTTTGGAATCGTTCCGGGAGTAGGAAGAGGACCTAGACATGAAAATGGACAATAAAGGGGCCCTAATTTCCCAGCTACAGTAAAATCTTCTTCAAACGTTTCGTACTTCGTTTTTTGCCAGGGTTGAACACTTTGTTCAGAATTCATCCTAACATTGTTCACATTGGGGTTGTTGCTAAAGGTGAAAATTTCAAGTCGTTCAACTGCAAGAATTACATCCCTGAGGGTTGACTTTATTTCAGGCACCGGCGTTCTTCCGAGATGAATGAGTGGAATAGATTGTATCTGATCACCATTCAATGCGGGAGGGAGCCAAAGTTTAGATAGGATATAGGTCGTTTCTTGATCAACGTCAGGATACTTATCAGCAAGCCGTTGATACTACAAAAATCTTTGATCAGTGAGATAGACTTATTTGATTTCTAGAGATGCAGGAGTATTTAATCGATCAGGATACATGGTTTAGTCTTTCTTCGCTGTATTTATACAACTATGTTCTAGAGCTAATTGCTTCATCATTTCAATCCGAATGGAATTATATATTTTGAATTCTCTCTCAAACTTACTTTTTCATGGGCGAAGCGCAACTTGTGCTCGAGGACTGTCTTACGATCGTCAAGCAGCTGAACTTCGTGAACTAAGATGCCCAGACGATCTGTTAGCTCTCCAATAAGTGCATTGAGGTTGATTTGTGTGGTGGGCATTGTGGTATAAATTCAATAGGGCCCGGGAATAGTGTTTATGGTGAAGTGATTTGTTGTGTGGACATTATCGTGGTGGCTGAACTTAAGCATTCTATCTCGGTTAAGTACGAGAAACGCACTAAGGCCAGTTACGTAATCATATTTTGCGCATCAGCCACGAAGAAGTCACATTAATATAGATGATGCATCCAAATAAACTGCTCAAAAATATTCACAGGAGCGTATAAGTCGACTAGCAAGAGAGTGCTCGAACACGAAACTGCCACCCTACGGATAGAAATCTACCTGAAGCAGCAATGACTCCAATACTTTGGTCGCTCGAAAACCCTACCAGTTCAGAAGCTCATACAATCTGCCTGTAGTAGTATCAAGCTGCCCAAACAAGGGAGAGAAGACATTCGCGCCAATAACAGGAGATTAGATCTGGTAAACTGGGTGGAAATTTGGGGGGAATACCAGTCTAAAAAAAAGGCTGAAAGAGGCTGAAAAAGTTGCAGCATACCAAGAATGGGCTAAATCCTAGAAAAATCAAAGGCAGCTCCAACTACTTCAACATAAACCGATCGCTGACCCTAAAACCTGGAGAGCAGTCAAGGTCTATCAGAACAGAAAGTCGGATCAATGGAAAATAAGCCTCCAGGAATCGCCATTTATACTCTACCGAAACCTGACTAGTGCCAAAAGCAGTCTAGCTATGCAGATACGAAGTGAGCACATGGGGGTCAATTCGTAATTATATAGAAGAAAAGTATCCGGAGTCTACAGTTCAAGCTGTCCATGTGGCTACTAATCGCAGAACCCCAAGCACCTGATTGTGTCCTGCCCTCGATGGTCAAATGGAAGAGGAGAGATCTGAAGACAGGCGAAAGATCGGTCCTGCAAAGCTATGCTAAACAATCCTGGAGATATCAAAAGGATAACACAGTGGATCCCAAATCATGGTTGGATAGTGCAATTCCAGATGACAAAGGCGGTTGATATCCTGCTGAGGGTAAGGAACAGGTCAAGTAATGCTTGGGGGGGTAGAGGTGATCTAGTTGGCTTTCATTGACGGCGATATAGAGGAACTGTGCTTCCTGAAGAAAATATGTGAAAACTAAAGACAACAAGTAGAAAAGTATGGGAGGTTTCACCATAAAGGTTTCCTCCCGTGTAAATATTATAGATTGTAGACACCTGCATGGGCTCATACAGCGCCAAATCATGATAATGAAATCAAATTTAACGAATAATTGGCTTTCTTGCTACGAGACAATTACAGCACTATTATATCTGAAATAACCCCTAACCACGCCCCTAAGGATTATCTCTAGTCAAACACATCTGCTCGTAGATTGTTGGCTCGCATTTGAACTGCAACCTGAATAGTGCTGGTACAAATTAATTAAAGCTCATTCACTTAAGATTGATTTTGCACCTCAAGGCTCATCAAGATATTTTCGAGAGTTATGATTTTCATGTGGAGTAATGCCGATTTGCATTCCTCTGGACAATCAAGCGGCCACCCGGGCGCTCGAAAGAGGAAGATCTAACTCCTCGCAGTCAGTGGTGGACAAGCTTTCGTCGAGACACAACAAGCGTGTGAAAATGCGCTGGATACCTGATCGTGTGGGGATCCAAGGCAATGAAGAGGCCGATGAGCTGGTGGATAAGCTGGCCAACTCAGCCTTGAGAGCTCCCAATAGCCGGTCACTATCCTCAGCTGTGCTCAGTGGAGAATATCAACATCTATCCTTTGCGGCAAGAGGGATGTGGGTTAAACAGCGCAGCCAAGAGCTCGTAGAAGAATGGTGGCAGAAGTATCGACCGAATCGATAAAAAGATCTGGACCTCTTCATGCGTTGCAAACGACCGCCGGAACTAGCTTTACCAAGATGGGCGTACCATCGTCTGACTGCGGAAAGAACAGGCTTCAGGGACTACGCCGACTACTCTCTACATTTCAACCCCGAACATGAAGATTTGAAATGCGTTTGCGGCAGAAAGAAGAGGCTCTGGCATTTTTTAGAGTGCCGACCTGCTTTGCAGCGCTGGAGAATCTATGAGAAATTAGCCCCGTCTGGAGCCAAGGAGATGATTGGGGAGAAGGGATGGTAGAAGTTCATCCAATTCTTAACCGTAGGCAGATGTTACAGACTGGCGAAGAATGAATAGGGTGGGAGGGGGCCATGCTGAGATTGTTTCTAACTTGAGAGGAGATGGGTGTGGAAGATAGGGATGCGGCGCAGAGCACTGTAACTCAGACATATACTGTTCATTTTTATTTCCTTCTTTTCTTTTATCGCTTCTGGCTTCACTGCCGGTTGTGTAGGTAGAGATGAGCTCTCAGAGTCCATCTACCCGTGCCACGTCTAAATAGATGTTAGGTTCTTTCTGTCACGTAAAAGATTTGATATTCAAATTCATGTGGAGTAATTCGTTTGGACAAGTGAGTCTTTTGCAATCTTAGACACAGTAGTGAGTGCCATAGAATTCTTTTCTATTCGTTTTGAAGTTTGTAACACTGACACAAATGTTATTTGCATATAGTACCAGGAATTGAACACTATTGCATTTAACCTCCATCGTGCGTTTACCTCGGAGGTGAGAAGCGCGAAGATCTACATTTATCCGTACTTGGCTTACAAATCTTCTCGATTCATACAACGGCGAAAGAGTTTGGATTGCCGTCCCACCTTCCATCGAACCAGCTTTCTTCTGCCTCGGATCGTAAGATGTCTAGGCTTCTCGGAAGCGGCGTAGGAGCAAGGCCTGGACGCTGCACCCTACACCATTCAATCCTCAATTTCCATTAAGTTGAAAACATTATTAATAGGAATAAAGTCATCAGAAACGACTATTCCCTAGAGCATGTATCAAGCCCCGCTTAATCCGAATGCCGGAGATTGACCGGATGGCGTAGTGGCTCAACGACGGGCCCAATTTCCAAGGTTGGTTGGAGAGAGTGGAGGAGGTGCACCATCTGCGAATAAACAACCGCTAATTCTCAATTAGCCGACCATTCCTTCCTACCAACACCTCAAACCAAAAGCGGCTGAGGCATGCGAGGACAGCCCTCACTTGCTCTTCATTTTATCGGACCACGCTGAAGTGAGTTCGGTTGAAAGTGTTCGTGTCATTACAGACACATATAGGTTGCTCGACGCAACGTCATGTCTGTTGGGTGTAAATGCTTCAGCCCGGATCCATGAAACTTCAAAATAATTCTCCTCGTGACATTTACGGCGGCCCAGCGTCACATGTGACCCCCAGTCTCGACGACCTCGATGTCGCACATGACAGTGGGACCTCAAACGGTTAACGCATCGTGGTAGCTAGACGATTCGACGCACTAGCTAAGCGAGGCTACGGCGAGAAGCCGGCGTTCAGTGGCCACACTAATCTTTAGGGCCGCAGTGGTCAAACCCACCGCCTTCTACATCACCATCACACCCTTGCACTTGGACATTGTAGAGGGTCCGTGACTGACATGTCTGGTCGATGCCATGATTAGTGCGTGGAGTGGGTTTCCGCGGCTAGGCAGACGAATCAATGATGGGGCATGGGGGTGTGAAAATTGCACACGTTATACTACAATTGCCGAGTTTCGTGCGCGGAAAAAGCACTACAGCTAGCGGCTCCGGCCAAATGTTAATGGACTTCATGTGCGGTGGATTGAGGAGTGCTTGCTAGCCTTAGGCAGCTCCGTCACACCAATTGCACCAAATAGGGATCGAGGCCGGGCTCGGCCAGTAGTTTATGGGTGAGTCGGCGAACCTGCAACATATGCACACATGGTGTACCAAATATGCCAGCAGTAGACCAGCAAGCGGCCTTGTCTGGTCGACCGGACACAGGCCTTGGGTACAGCAGAATAATTCCTTCGGGTGTAGGCTCAAATGAAAGCACGGGATGGAATAGCGGCAGAACGGATACCGCGAAGGAGATGCTGTTATTGTACGTCTGGGTGTAGAAGACCGAGACTGTAGGGCACGGTAGAAAGATCATGTAAAACTCATCTCTAGGGATGAAGCTTATCACAACAGAAGATGCCTTTGACGTTTTGCGCCTGATCGAACCCACAAACATCGCAGTAGAGAAGTGGCAGTAATCATGCAAGGTACCAACGCCTTAGTGATCGAGACTGGCGGATCAAGAGCTCAAGGTGTTCCGGATATTCTGCTGGATTGGCTGCGACTCGCGTTGTGGGAGGCAAGCGGCGGTTGGCACGTTTTGGGCCCGGCCCGCAATGAGCGGCTTGTAACACCCAGCAACCAATCACCAAGACGACAAGCAAGACGCCGGCGCCCGCCAATCCCGGTGCAGCCCGCGCTACATACATTGGTGGTCAAGCGTGGCGACGGCCAAATGCTTTTCGCGCCAGGCTGACTCACGTTTCGGCCTGGGAGATATGAAGGACGAAGGGGCGTCGTAAACAATTCGACAATCGTGTGCCACCGGTCGAGAGCGCACGGGGTCCCAAGACCCGACGCACGTCCGTCCACTTCCCGCCACTCCCCTTACGACCAGAAAACAATGTCACGCTGAGCTGCATTCGATCGACATCAATGCCCAGCCCACCCACTTGACGCCCGCCGCCTGCGCTTCCCTTAGCTCAGGCCTAACCGACCCGTTCCCGTCGCTGAGACGCCGAGCCTCCAGCTCATCGCCATGGAACCCTCACGGACACAAGTTTCCATCCCAGCAGACTGAGAGGAAATGACTAGACATTGGTACGCCCGCTTGCCCTGCTCCTGGCCCGGACTTCGCTCATAGCGTATATCCGAAATCCGTGCATTTTCTATCCGCTCTTCCCTTCAACACACCGGGCTGGTCTAGGTCACAGTTCACACCTTGAGCTGTCGCTCAAACTTGCCTCCCCATTTCAGCTAGTGAGACTGATCTGCTCGAGATGCACGGTTTCCATTGCCAGGCCTGAATCCAGTCTCTGGCCACCGACACTCACTGCCGATAATCCTAGCCCTGAATCTACCTCCATCCGTCCCCCCACGCGCCGTGTTAACGTCTTTATTCGAGTGATGATTCCAAAATCTAAACTTACTCGAGTCATACCCAACTATGATACTTTTAGTATTGAAGCTGCCGCTAATTATTCTCCACCGATGCTGGGCAGGAGAGACATCAAAATGTCCCTTACAGAATACTCATCTGAACCAGGATTATTCCTCACAAATCGACATCAAAGAGGCTTGGGGATGGAATGCGGGACGCGTGATAAGATTTAGTATCACAGGTTCAGTCAATTGTGAAGACATGTGCAGACTATTATGAAAGTATATTGTGTCATGAATCTGACGCAACTCGATAGACTTATATTTTACCCCAGCTTGTACTAGGGCTATTTTCCACGGCCTTGTAGACTGAGATGCACCCCTTTCTACCCAAGATCAAAGCCTAGGAAGAAAGAACCTTCATGATATTACCATGCGTGTTTCTACAAGTGTCCTCGCGTTTAGACCGGCGCGATGTATTTTCTACCAAAACTGCTTTTTGGTCGGGCATGACGAGTTTTAGACTCCGCCCCTTGAACTGCCGTTCTAAGTCCGTTGTTGCTACATTCTGTCAAACATTTCCGTTAAATTCGAATTGTTGTATATGCCCATGTATCCAGTACGCCAATGCTTTCATGCCCTTGTTCATAAATTCCCCATACTCCATACGTGACCTGGGCGCGTCGACTGTTAGCGATAGTAGCCCTGACTGTATTTTTCGACAGCGGCGTTAGTGTCCGTGTAATTATCAAATATTACTGTGAATTCTGAACGCCACAAACACCATGCCTTGCGTAACCCTTATACATTTTAAATACTGATGACTCGTTACCGCTTGTCAAGGTGGGCCCTGCCCTGCTTAAGTTAAGCCTTGCTTTGAATGGCGACTATGAGAAGGGATAAGAGCGCACTGTGGCTGGTGCCTTGAATATATTGCCATATTCGGGCCACATGTGTGAGTGATCGGTCTGCTACATGAGTTCGGGGAGTGACAGTTATTCCTTTTCAGTCTCTTTTATGATTTCTGGATGTTCGTCATGGACCTTGGGCTTGATAGCTGCCTCAGTTTTTCCCTCGCCTGAAATGCCTGCCGTAAGACTATTTGAGCGACTCTGTACGTAGATGCTTTGTCCCTTCTCAGTTGTAGGAGAGAGGACGAGGCGGAAGAATGGCGCCTGCTTTTTGATGACTGCTTTTTCTTCCTCACTCATGCTCGGCGTAAGTTTTGGCGGCCCGGGTAGTTCGAGGCTCACTTCGAAGCCTTTTTTTCTAAAGTCCATTCGATTCCAGGCTGAGATACAAGCGGAAACATCGCCGTTGTACTGTAGGTCTCTTTTTATGCGTTTCATTACATCATTTTTGTGGAAGAACCATGCATAGCGTGCGCGTCGGGGTATTCGAGCTTCTTTGATTATAGCATCGCTGAAATGATTCCATTCGTCTTCACCAACGTGGTATTTTGTGGCAAGAGTTGGGTCGTACTCGAAGCCGCTGAGGAGAGAGGCGCCCTTGGTCGTGAGTCTGAGTCGTCTACGGGTTGATGGTGGCGGTGGAGGCTCAACAAACGATACCCGTCGTATTGTAGATGTTATAGAGCCAGAACGTTCGGTCTGGTCGATGGAAAGGTGAGATGGAGATGGGGAAGAATTTTTTGAGGGGAGCAGTGTAGGCTCGCTGTGTGGAGGCCGAGTTATGGACACTCGATGGACTTGAGTAGTAGTGGGACGCTGTTGGCCACGGGTTGATGGTCGTGAAGATGTTTCAAGAGAGTGAGGGCGACGAAGAGAGTGTGAACTGTTGCTATCATTAATTGGGCCGAGAAGGTGATTAGAGGTGGAGGGTATTTTTGCAACGCACCTTTTAATCGGGTCAACAAATTTGTTGTTAGTTCCGCCCCTGGAGCGTTTTTCCGATTTATCTAGAGAGTCTAAGGCGGCTAACACATCCATGTCGATGTGGTAGTAATGAAAGAAGAAGGAGGGGAAGGGCAAAGGGCGGATTCGAGGACGGAAGGAGTATATGGTGATATATGTAGCGGCGGATGGGGTGTTTCGGAATGGGGGGATTTGGGAGGGTATTTGGAATTAGGACCTGTGGAGCTGCTGCCACTGCTGCTGCCGGCGAATCATGGGCCGACTAGCGCGCGCGGCATATAACAATAACAACTGCTTCGGTCTAGGATTTGGTGTTGGGATGATGGCTGGTCGAAGATTGTGAAGCTTGAATTATGGGCCATTGATGGATGGATGGGGGTGAGAGGCTGTTGGTTCCTGTCATGTAGAAGACTCTATTTAAGTGTCTTAGCTCGTCTCACGCACAATAGAGACCGCCCCCCCCCGTCCGCCTCCTCGGGGGGAGAGGGGCGGGGGAGCGGACGGGAACGAGAAAATAACACAAACTCGAGGTGGAGGAGTTGTACTCTTTTGTTGCTGATGCTGCCGCGCCGCCTGGGTCTCTGGAAAAGATAGATTTCACATCAGGGACACTTGTCACTCCGATTTTGCCGGAGCTCTGCCGCTGGCCAATAATGGTTTATTCTCGTCAAACCATCACCACAACCGCGGTAGCAGTGTCGACAAACCTCTCTTTCCACCAACGTGTTTCGCACTCGCACATCTACCTGCAACAGCTTCCAGGGGATCCGTCGGCCTCTCAAGCGGCATGGTGCTCTTATGGATCATAGCTTTCAACTAGATCCCTCAGCCGCTTTACATTCCTCTCAGCACCTTTGTCCTCGACCACACTTACAGAATTCCAAAGACCAAAACATAGAGTTTTGTTGGCTCATCCGATATCTATCAAATTTCCCTTTCTTTCTGTCCGTCTTTATTACGTCCTGTCATGTCGTAAATCTGGGGTCAAGGTGCAAAAGACGTTTTCCATATTCTATCCAGTTGGACACATTTGCTCATTGGGCCATTTGCGCACATGAAATTCCACAGCTAATCACGTCCAAGGGTCATCTAAGCTTCATTGTGTGAATTTCTAAAGATGTTGGCTCGTTCCGTAACAGGTTGTGCTCAATACTCTTGTCATATTCAGGAACGGGCTTGACACTGCGGCTAGAGTAATCTATAGGGCTCGACCAATCAAGGAGAAAAATAGGCATACGACCTGGGTGGTAGTGGGTATTTTTGCTTATGGCCTGCGCGCATCTCTACGAGCTGCGGGAGTAAACCGTTTTCATGACTACGCTGTCACGCACAGGTCTTTCTCGTAATATTTGTCGTGCCGACCTGCATGCGTAAATTGTACACTCTATGTGGACGGCCGTATGTTTACGCTTTTGCACGTATTTGTTCGTGCGCCAGCCCTAAGCTGATCGTGCTAAGATGCTACATGATACAAATCCTCCATTATCGTCAGTATTGCTCGCTAAGTTATCATAACATATGCTCCTCGCTGAACCGTTTAATGAAGTGATATCATCTATCCATTCCGTTGCATTATCACCGCACGAACAAGTCCTCATTTTGATTGGTGTACACAAGACTTTCTGGTTTGTCCCATTATTTCAGAATATAATTCCGATCTTTTAGCCTCATCATGAAATGCACACAGGTTCTGCCGTACACGAGTCGCCGGTCTCAACTGTTGTTGAAGAAGCACTGCTAGCACATTTTATGAGGGTCTTGACACGCCCACACAGTGCTAGGGCCAGCGGGACGTTGCTCAATGAAAACAACTAACTTTCTCTTCGTGAGACACCTTGCGACGGGGCGGATTGGATTCCTGGAACACCCGAATCATGAGGCGTAGGAAGGGGCCCTGACCTGGAGTTGGATGTTCGGCTGGACGGGGGCAAGAGGATCCACTAGTCATGAGTCACGTCAAAGCCCCTCGATCTGTCAGCGCAGACACTCTAAAAGGGAGGAAAAAAGAAAGCTCGTCTCGTAGGCCGATCAGGGCTTCTTGTTGAAAGACATCGAGGTCAGGGCAGTAGAGAGGATAAACGCGTCTTGCTCTTGTAAGATCCTCTCGACGCAAGTCAGAGCCTTCTATCTAGCCATAGAACGGTCACTCTAGTGCGAAAGAGTTAAAGTAATCATATCCGAAGCTATAGTAACAGTCTTGTTACTAAAAATGCTACTATTAATATATTCACTATTAATACATTCTGTGTTGACAATATCCACACCCATTCTAATTCCTAATATCATGGCATTCATTGGCCATAGTAGAATGAAGCCCAGAGGATAGCAGCCTTCGAATTTATGTGCGTTGCATTAGCAAGCCAGAAATGTCGGCTTGCGATACCTCAAGAAACACCTTGATGTGATTGCCTATTACATCTCAGCCTTTAAAACGAGGCCACAAACAATATGCCCGGGGTGTCTTTTCAATCTCCTCCCCATGCAACAGTCCGAGATATATTGATGATGATACGGTCTATTTACCCAAGGCGTTCCCGTGAGACCGTGAGGGGGGAGGCTATTTCTATCCGTCGAGTGAGTGCACGAAGCAGAGCAAAAATATCATGGAATATCTGTGGCGTTGATGCAACTGCTGATACTTCTCCAGCATAGGCCCGGCACTTCCACTCCTCTCTCTCTCTGCCATCTGCAACTGAGTACAAGAAACAATACATGAAACCTAGGGTTCTTCAAAACAGCTTCACCATACCGCCCATTTCCACCGCTAAGAATCTCATGTCCAGGCCATCCATCCTAACTGTGGAAGGGTTGTGGGCAATTCAGACTCTACTTGGGATTAGCGGAAGACAGACAGTGGATCCCAAAAACCTTCCTTGGTCAGTCTTCAGTGTGTCGGCTTTACTCCCGCTAGCAATTTCTCGGCGTACACACTGGCTTCCAACTTTGGACATTCTCCGCCGAACTTCACACCCTGACTATTATGTTCTCTTCTTCGCTCCAACTCTGTCTATCCGGCTCTCCACCTCTCCTTTGGTGTCCAGTCAATTCACACGATTGTTACCTTTAGCGATCCAGTCCACTTGGCGTCATTTTTTCGAAATCTAGTATTAGTGGTTGTTGTCAGAGACAGGTCTGCAGAGAATGGTACACGATTCCAACGGAGTTTGTGAAAATTAAATTGACTCTCGCTCATCAGGCTGTCTTTTCGCCCGGTCCACCTGCATAAGGCCCCCATGACGCGTCAGTGCTCAGGGACTCCAAGAAACCCACGCCAGCGCAGCTGACAAGGACAGAGCTTGCGGGAAACCCTCTGGCACAGTAACCATGAGTACCAAGGTAAGACCCTACTACATGCCGTTCGGGTATGTTGCTAGTCCTAGTGGTAGCGCCTGATGACCTCAAGGCCCCTTTCCAGCTTCGGGGTGTCCGTACAGAAATCTGTCAAGCCTAAGCCCTGTCTTTTCTGTAAGTACCATGCAGATATAACTCAGACGCCAATACCAGAGACGCCAAATTATGACTGAGGCTTCTGCCAGACATAATATTTTGTGCTCAGAAGATTTAACCAAGAGCCAACTGTGCCACTCAAAAGGTCTACACTCCAAAAATAGTTACCCCATCAACAGGTGCACATTTCGTTCAAAGTTTACACTTTGCGGATTCTCCCGTAGTCCATGCCAAACAACTACAATGCCTAGAATAGTGTATCCCAAGCTTCACAATACTCAAACGTTTTGAGAGCTCTGAAGTTGTGTAATGAGCACTTAAGATCTTATTTCTAGTGGTAAAGAGGGGATCTTTAAATCTAAAGCCGCTAGTAATTCCTTAATCAGACACCAACCGGCCGAGGGAGACTGTCCTCACTCAAGATTCTATCATACAGGCTTCAGTAAAAAACTTACAGCGGTCAAATAGTTTCACCAAGAATGAAAATTCTACACAGCATAGATTTTGATGGCCAATAAAACGAATTATGTAATACGAAGTTAGACAATGTTCGGACCTAATTCCGGGATCAACGACTAGTCTTCAGCTTCGATAAGCGCCACCCAACGTGGGACGATCATGTTACAGGTAAAGACCTATATGCGTAAGGGATTCATACACAGCAAAATAAAATTAAATGAAAATGATAAGCCCGTAGTAATATCAGATCTAGTGCCTGAGTCTATTGAGACTTGTTTGACGACAACCACCTCTTAATCGGAATAATATCTGATTCAAAATCGATCTGGCACCGTGAAATTTGCAGGCATAAACATCTACCACTTCAATAATTGTAACTTTATTGAACATCAAACCACTATCAGGAAGAGAAGCAAAGCTCGACTCCTATTGCTTTTCCTACATGCATGTATAGTCAAAGGTTCCAACTTTTACTATGGTGCAACAAAGTTAGAGGTATGTAATGGCCCCTGAAACTATTTACTTAGCTAGTCAAGGAATCACTTCAGTTAGTACTCTGAATCCGGCATAATTTACGGCTTTGACAAAGATATTAGCTAATAAATTAGGTTACAGTTCTCAAAGCTTTTATAACCTAAAACTTGCCCACCAGAGAATGTTCTAACATTGCATCTAAACCTCTTACACCCCCTCTGTTGTATATCCGAGTACCACAGCTTTGCTCAAATTATATCGGATTTAGCCTATGTCCGACTAAAAACACCCCACACGCTACTGCGCCACTCATGGCTGTCCAATATTCCTCCACTGCATACGAATCTAGTCCAAGACCTGTATACTCGGCTGAAGAAGCAACCCTGTCAATTATTTGTTCACCTGAGCCAAGTCCCCGAAACAATTAGTAGGGCCGTAAGCTTTCCCCAGAAAATGCACAGCCTTCATATCTAATGGTACGGTGGATTATACCTTAAACTTGAAGTCAAGCTTCACAAGCCTGATTATCCCTATGCTTTGTTATTTCTCCGCAGGCGCTTAACTTCGACGCCTCAGGTTTTGAGAATCCACCTATTAAAGAAGATCAAAAATAGAACGATACTAACGAATTTACAACTATAGTGTCGCCGCAACTCACCGAAAATTCTCATATCTTTGGTCACGCGTGATCAGCT